CCCTTACCGTTATATAGCGATAGGGTATCCCCCCCCAAGTTCGTAATCTAGCCATACAAGTAACTGAATATGAACGATATTTGCTGAACAAAGGACCTAAATACATACCAGCAGCACCACTCACAACCATGAACCCACGTGCGAGACAAATTGGTAGAAGCTCATAGAGTGAGAGCAATGGCATCATATGTCCGAAAATCAATAAATTTTGCACCAACGTTAAAAATGCAATGCAAAATCGGTTATGGAATGAAAAATCGATAGCAAAAAAAAATTCTGATCACGTCAAACCAAAGGTGAAGCAGTTTTCCGTAAAACCGATAAGTTCAAAGTTCTACACCTTGACTTTCCAGAAAACTATGGAGCTAAATCAGATGTAATCCTAAAGACCACAAAATAGGCGAACCAAAATCTAAAACTGCTGCTAAGTCGTTGAAGGCTGGAGAGAAAGTTCAATTAGTACTAGATCGTTTCTCTCAACAACAAGTGCTTCCTCTCCGTAGTAAATCAGATATATCCACATCAGCACATACGACATTCACAGTTGCTACCGTAATTCCTGCTGCTGTCACAACAGCATCACAGCACCCAAGTCATCCGCAAGCTCTGGTGTTAATCGCATCAGAAGCTGTGCAGTACTTTCTGCTTCAACCTCGTCAGCCAGAGCTGCCCTTGCATGGCATCAGGAATATTATCCCACGATGGGGAAACACAGCACATGTCATTTCAACAATATCCATCATCTACAAACCGATGTCGAAAAACAATAAATGATCCATACTACCATCAGAACTACCGCTAACATCTGCACCAATGATATCACATACAACATTGCTGATAGAACAAGTCCATCATTTACAACATGAACGTAACTAAGAAAAATCAAAGAAAATACAAATTCTGTGTGTATTCAACAAAAGTCATAATTTCGATTCAAAATCAGTAAAAGACGAGAAGAATGATTCAACAACAATCACTGCAGATGACTCTATTCTCATGGACAAGGTCCATGTAAACTCTGGTATGCTTTCAAAAGACTCGCTCTATTAATATAACTATTTTAAAGACACAAAATGATTTCCTTGGGTAGATACATCAACATATCTCTTTTTGAAGACCCATCGATGAATCTGTTTTCAAAATCTTTTAATTCTTTCGTCATTACAGAGCTACCCAGGTCGTTCAAAACGGCCAAGTTAATGGCGTGTTAACGTCGCGTTAAGTATTGAATTATATTAATTATTATCATTGTCGGATTTCGCGCGAGCGACGAGCGCGCTTCGTCTGTTTCGCTCGAGCAGTGACCGCGTCCGTACACCGAGCGCTCGTCACGAACGCCCGCTCGATTCGCCCCATATCTAGTATAAGGTATGAATGTTTTACACTCTATGACTTTCTGAAATACTTCATATCACAGAAAAGATGAGAAGCGTTTGCCATACTTATGTAAACACACTGCGAAGATTACTTCATCCCTTTCTGGTCGATTTTTTTAAGTTAAATGTCACTATCAGTGTCTATGAGAAAAATCTTCAATACAGGTGTTGATAAATCTTTAAAGATTTCTCAAGTTTCGCGACGGATCTTTAAAGCACTTGAGCGGATTTATCGAAATCTCTCAAGATTTTAAATGGAAAGTAGTGTTGCAGATTTTCAACAAGTTTTGTATTAGAATCTCTCTTGATGAATCTTGAGCAGATCTTGTCAATATATTTCAAGAATTCTGAAATGTTTCATTTAATACGCAGTAATCAGAATGTTCATTAAGAGATTTGGAAATTTGAAAGAAAATCTTAAACTTTATTTTCTACTGCATATTTTCATTTTTTTCTACGATATCACTAAAGTGCAAGCTCTGCAGTACTACGTAAACAGTACCAGAGCTGTGGAAAGTGCATGATCAACCATAGCAAACACAATGTTTGAATTTCACTTTAAAAATGTTTAATGTTCTGTAGTGCAAATATTTATTCTTACGAACAACGCCACACAAAGTGATGATTCAAAGAGTAGCATATTTATCTGTCCACCTGTCGACCAACAGAATTTACTCGAATTCCTCTACAATCCAGTGCTATAATAACAACATCATTTGTCCATGAAGCTATCCGTAAAGATCATAGCTTCATGCAACCAAAGGAATAAATGTACTAACTCTCATTGGAGTCTCAACTCAATGCAGGGAATCCGACTTAACTCGTATAACTGCATTACGTCAGAAGCGCTTCATGTTGAACAATTAAAAACAAACGTAGCCCACAATCACACACAAAAAAAGAGGCAAACTTCAACAAAACAACATAATCACGCCACCTTTGAAGCATTCTAGAAAATCACTATTCTGTCTAGTTGCGAGATTTCCTCTGTGCTTCACCTCCTCACGTGAATATTTGGTTAAGAAAAAGATCAAGTTGAGTCAGCGTGTTGTTCACTTTGAGTGCTTCAGCCAGAGCTTCACTTCCTCACTCGAATATTCGATTCTCACGAGTTAGAATTTTGTTTACTTTTAGTGCTTCTGCCAGGGCTTCACCTCCTCTATCGGATATTTTGTGACATTTAAGTGAAACGGCTGAGAAAAATTTAAAATTTTCCTAGAATAAATTTAAGTTTGTCCTGTTGGTCTTTTGCCAGACGTTTGCTGTAATTTTTTACCATAAACATGTTTATCAAACTCTTTACAGGTCTCAGTAGAGAATTGAATAACCACTGTTTTGAGAAAAGAATAAGAGCCAAGGGTTATAATGGATGGGAGAATAGTGAAACAATGATACTAATGGTATCATTATTTCTGTCGCACGCGTTACAATGAGCAACAGAAACATTCAGTATGAATAATGACGCAACTTAATGAAGCTTCGATGTATATCATATTCCATCACGTCATTCTAGGTAGGATAGATGCACAACCAAGTTTCATTAGGTGTTATACCATGTATGTACAATATTTTGACCAGATGTGCAGTGAGTGCGTGTTCATGGTCATCGCATTCCATGATTCTTTCCTCATATGTTGTACACACTCAAACGAACAATTTTTACTGAACAATAAAGAAGAAAATGAAAAATATATGTTGAAAACATACGAAAACGCGAAAGTTTTTAAGATATTGATAGTATTAGATCTAGAACATGCATACAAATATCAATAAAAACAAACTATAAGTGTTAAACAATTGAATCAGATGATTGTTCATCGCCATTTTTCAACTAAATTAGTCGAAGATGATCTTCACATGAAAGTATATCTCAATAATGTGATAATTACCTCAGAACTAAAAAACGAAACAAATTCAGTCCACCCAATAGAATGATCCGATTTCAAAGATTTACAACTTCAACAAGAGCATTAGTTGATAACATCGTTTATACTTCGAATTTTTCAGTTTCAAATCTTTGTTTATTTGCAATATCTATCACATACATTGTTCTATCTAATTATTGTAGATATGAAAAACTACAAAAAATCGTAAAATAAAGAAGTTACAACGTATAAGTAATTTTTCACTTAAAAAATTAAGTGAGAACTTAAGGGTAGTCAGAGGTTCCTTAAGTTAAGATGCTCGAAAAGCTCACATAGCAAAAAGTTTTACTTAAGTCAAAGGAGGGGGATTAACTTGCTCAGAAAACGATCCCTTGTTTTTTTGCTTCTTTTGACTTGACTTTTGTAGAAAAGACATTTTTACACACTTTCCAGTTGTTCAAGCTCAAAATGCGTTTTTAACATTGATTATTTTGAGATTTCATCAGAGGATGTCGTTGTTAGAACAAATAATATTGTTGAAAAACCCAGCATAGGTTTCATACAAATCTTGATATGAAAAAATACGCAGTGAAAAGCTGAATAAAATACTCTATGAACAATCCTTATACATCATTTCAAAAGGAAGAAATTGTTTTTACAAGAGACAAATTGACCTAAGAAACGATATCAACGATGTTTTACGTACTTTCTTCTGCATATGCAAACGAGGATCTAAGTTGTATCTGATATAGAAAATAGTCATTGAAAAACTAAATAAAATGGTATATGAACCATAGTTATGTACTATACTTTAGAAATGGTTCATTTTCAAGCATCCCCTATCTATTATCGGCGGCAAAATATAATGCAGTCAGTTGTTTTTACAGTAACTCAACAGCGAGACTTGCTGTTTTCAGCAACCGAACGCAGATACTTGAAGCTAACTTTGTATAAGCAAAAACTAGTTTGTAAAAGATTTAGGAAACTGGGTTTTCCAAGAACCCTTGAAAAACTAGCCTGAATTTCCAAAAACAGTCATAACAATCCATCGACTTTTTGCATAGGTAGATAGACCAAAGTGTCTTCTACTAAGCTGGATCTTGTTAGAATAACAAATAAAAACTGTTATTAGACGCGTTTCTGACGGTTATTAGTAGAGCTAAAGAGTGATACGAGAACCTTTTTCTTTTTTCAATCAGCTATGTCAGCATCTTTTTCTTTTATTCCCCCTTGTAAATTTCATTTATATATATACTCGCCAATGTCTGGTTATTCTTAGTCTTCGAAACCAATATATTGGTTTCTAGAACTATGGTATTTCTTCGCGTTATTTGGACTTTTTAACAGTTTTTCTTTTTTTTAAAATCATTGGCTCTTCCCCAGTCTAAGACGATTTTTTGGATAAAAACCTTTTTAAATACGTTTGAGATGTTTTAACAACTGGGAAATGGTAATTATTTATGAAAATAAGATTTATCCGTTGCGAAGTCATATGTTCAGCCACTACTACTAATAATACATAATATGAGCCGGATATAGTTCTTTTATAGTCTAGACTTTTATAGCGAACAATTTTATTAAAAATAAAAAACAATAATTTACATGTCTGTTCCTTGAAATGAATAATATGTATCATAAATAGCTGATGATGGATGTTTTTTATCATTATATTGAACTCTCATTTGTACAGTTTTTGTTTCAGGTGGTAAACTCGACCTAGTTGATAACGTTACCGATGATGCTGGTGTATTGGTTGTTAATGTATTTATTGTATCAGAATTGGTATAAAACGATGATTGTTGTTGTTTCATTAGTGGATTACTGTAGTTATCGTGTGTATTTACAGATGATTTATTTTTCATTTGCTTTCGACGACGATCTTTAAGAAGAAGGAATAAAAGAGGTAGAACGATGATGAGTACTAAACATGTACAAAATATAGAAAAATAGAATAACGATGAATAAGAAACAGTTGTGAATGTTGATGATGATATTTTAAGTGACTTTAAATAAACAGTGGCATTTGTCGAATTATCATGTATTAAAAATGTTAGTGTATAGAAGGTCACTAATGATAATGGTTGACCTTGATCACTCAGACAAATATCAAGAGTACCAAATAATATCGATGATGTTTTATTTCTTAAAAATAACTGTCCAGATGTTTTATTTAATAAGAGTTTTGACGATAGTGATCCACCAGTGATTGAATAATCAATAACATTATTGGGGGTATCACTGTCGAGATCTTGACTGCGTAATTGAAAAGGTTTCAATTGTTGACTAAGATCGATAAAAACAATACCAAATGGCGAAGGATAGAGTAGAAGAGGTTTATTGTCATTACGATCGAGTATATGAACATTAAGAGTACATGTCGAACATAAACGCAATGATTTTCCATTATCACAAGCAACAATAACAACGGTTAGAAATTCCATCTGTTCACGATCAATTACAGTCGCTAAAAAGAACGCAAATATTCTAACATTGCGAGCTGATGAAATAATGTGCTAACAATAAAAGTCTCTTACGACCCATCTTTCTATTTAACGGCACGACCAGCTAGCTCTGCTACAGTAAAAGAACATTTTTTCGTCATTTTGTTTTGTTTATAAATCGTAAAGCAAACAACGAGTACAGCAGCGACACGTCTTAAATTGAAGACAAAACTGCTATGAACATTTTAAAACGCGTCTCAGTCCTGTAATATGTCTCATTTCAAAGATCTGATAGAAATATTGGCACCTACTTTTCTCACATTCAAACTTCGAAAATCGAAAAGTAATTGCCAATATTTCTGTCAGATCTTTGAAATGAGACATGTTACAGAGCTGAGACGCGTTTTAAAATGTTCAAAGCAGTTTTGTCTTCAATTTAAGACGCTATCTGCGTTGTTTGATTTACGAGTTATAAACAAAACAAAATGATGAAAAAATGTTCTTTTACGGTAGCAGAGTTAGCTGGCCGCGCTGTTAATAACATTGTATAATTGTTAAAACTCACTTGTTGCTGTTATTCGTCCGTCAAATGAATTTATGTCTATTAAAATAGTTTTATTTTGAAATTTATATGTAATTGTTCCATTTTCATCTTGATCGGCATCTTTAGCTTGAATTTGAGTAATATAGTCGTTTTGTTCAAGATTTTCATAGATTTCAATGTTTAATATTGATGATGGAAACAATGGAATATTGTCATTTAAATCCAAAACAAGAATAATCAATGTTGTGCACGAACGAAGAGAGATAAGTTGACCTTGATCTTTGGCACATAATTTATATGAATATATAGAAATATATTCCCGATCAAGTTTTGTTAAAACACTTAATTCACCAGTTGAGTCATTCAATGAAAAATGAGATTCACTATCTAAAGAAAAAAATTTAAGTTATTACACAGTTATAGTGTATTACACTACTAGATGGATGAAAAACAATTAATTTTGCTTACCAACAGAATTTTTATGATTAATTTCTATTAATGTCATGTCATATTTAATCTGCCCATTGTCTCCCTCATCCGGATCATTTGCTGTAAATCTCAAAACAAATTTTGGATATAAATTATTTTCTGTTAATTTAATTTCATAATTATTCTGTTCAAAGCGTGGTTCACAATCATTTTCATCTAATATTATGATCGTCACATTTGTAATTGTTCTTATATCATTATTTACACAAAATTCTAATTGAACTTTATTACCTATTTCTTCTCGATCAAATGGGCTTTCTAATACCAAATCATACGATTGATCATCGATTTTTCTCAATTTAAAATAATCATCAGTCTCAATTGAACTTGCCATCTTAAGAGTTAAGAACGTAGAGATACCATCTGGATCATAACAATAAAGTTGTAGAAGAGTCAATGGAATAGGAGAGTTTTCTGTAACTCGTAATTCTGTTGAACTACTTGTACGTAATAATTTTGGTATCGATATTTGTATAATTGGAGAGTTATCGTCAACATTTATTATATCAATATCGACGTAGGCATATGATGATAACGAACTTAGATCATGTGCTTCGATAGTTAGACGATAATACGATCGACGTTCATAATCAACAGATGATTTTAAACCAATTTCCCCTAAAATTGTCGACGAATGTGGATAAGTGTAAATAAAGAATATGTCACAATGAACGATTTGAATCGTCTTTCTTATCTGGAGAGATAAGAATTTATTAGGAAAGTAGAGCATATTTATTTTTATCTTCAAACAGGGATTTTTTGCTTGTATCAAAATTTTTTTTCTTCAGTATGTAGCCGAACGTATCTAAACTCAGCCTCTATATCATTGGTGTTTATAATTTCTTTGAATAAAGTTGAAAAAAATTTGAAAACGTATAGCCACGCTAATTATAGGTAAGACTAGTTTATGGATAAACATTTTCTTATGATCCACAACAATTGCAACAAAAATTCTTCTTGTCTTTAAACTATTGAGAATATGGATGAAACGGTAGTCTGCGAAACATGAAAGTAAGTATTTATCCAGATTTAGAAGAGAAGACTAGAAATTAAAGATTAATGAATGAAGGTTAACATTAATTAAATTTCGTTTTAATGCTAAAAAGTAGAGAATCTTGTTTGGAGAAAAAGTTGTTTGCTTGAAAATCTTAAGGCTAAATTGAAGATCGGACTCTGTCAACCTCTAACTAGAACTATTCCCTACAAGTCAGACAAAATATTAAATCTCTACGACGAACTGTTACGAAAAATTCTGCGAAGTGCAGCGCGCCGTCATCGCAAAAATTCTTTCAGAATCTGTAACTATATCGCCTACATCGAAAGTTTTAGTGATTTTTGAAAACCTTTTCAAAAAACTTTGCAAAAGCTTTTTTAGCATTTATTACTTTCTCTGATTAAAATACTTTTAAATTTAGTTTTTGAATGAGCTGATCGCTTTGTACAAAGATTTCTCTTCTAAATGTGCCAGCTCTCCGTAATCCTTTAGTCAAAAGTTATTAGAGGTTTACGAAAAGCAGCAAATGTGTCTAGTATTTTCTTGTACTCTATCTTCTAAATAGATTTTTGCGCTGACGGTGCCCTGCACGTCGCAGAATTTTTCGTTACAGTTCATCGTAGAGATTTAATATTTTTTTTCTCTTGTAGGGGATAGTTACATCTAGAGGTTGACAGAGTCCGATCTTTGATTTAGCCTTAAGATTTTTAAGCAAACAGGGTTTTCTGGAAACTCCAAAGAATTTCTCAAGTTTTTGAGATAAAACGTTACCAAAAATCAGTAATCTAATTATCCTTTTGCATGAAACATCATTATTATAAATACCTGTCAGCTTGTTTACTGTAAACGTTCCTCGTGTATCTTCGTCATCCGTTGGACTTATCGAATAAACAATTTTATCATTTATATCGAGATCGGTTGCATTTACATAGCCGACAAGGGTTGATAAATTTGAATTTTCTAATAATCGAAAACGATAAGCTATTTGCGTAAATCGTGGTGGTGTATCAATAACATCTAATACTTGTATTTTTATTAGCGCTTCATCATATTGATGATCACCATCTTCAGCTCGTAGAATACCAAAATAAGATTTTATATCACTTTCATAATCTAATTCTTCAAGAACGACCAATGTTAACAGATGATGAATACGATCGAAATATAATTCGAATGGAAATGATGAGGAAGATCGTTTTTCTCGAAAAGTAGAAGAATTCAAACCTTTGAATGAAACATAAACTATTTAATTCGAGATTGTAAATACGAGTATCAATATAAAATTTAGAAATAGGAGAAAATGCCACTCATACTGTTACCTCAATACATATTTCAATTTTTATCGCTCACGAGGAAAGGTCGTCGAGTGTCAACTTGGATTTTCCTTGAAACATACTTCATTTTGAATTATTTTTTATGCTCATCTCGAATCTGATATCCGTTCATCTCCATACGGTCTTACAGAACCGCTGTTTAAATTCGGTGTCTTCAGGAACCCATGGTGAACCTTCATCTGAATTCTGATAGTACCAGATGGTAGAGTATATCAAATAACCTCCGTAGACAAGTTTTCATTGATTTATAGATTTTGTATGGGAAAAATATCTCAATGATCCTTATTTTGGCCAGATGAAACACTGAAATTTTTATAACTAAATGAAAACTTGTCCACACGGTTTATTTGATATGCTCTACAATTTAACACTATCAGAATCCAGACGAAGGTTCACTATGGATTCCTGAAGACACCAAATGTGAACAGTGGTTCTGTCAGACCGTATGGGGATGAACGGATAACAGATTCGAGATCAGCATCGAAAATAACCCAATTAACCATGTTTCAAGGGAAATTCGAGATAAGACTCGGGAACCTGTCCTTGTCAGACTTAATTTTATTTTTATAAGATACCACGTTCAATTCTCGATAAAAATTCATTAAAAAAAGTCTTGCAAAAAGTTAAAGTTCAAAATTATAGGAAAAGTATTATGAAGTTCAAACATAGACAGGTTTTTAGCTACTTTTTTTGTGATATAAAGTTCTTATGTCTTTTTTCTCGTTTGTTCAGGTATTAAAATAAGCGTTTCTATACTCAAAGTATGCTCTTTTTATTTGTAAATTGCATTATAATATAAAATAATTCATTGACTTTTCTAAAGTAGATCGAAAAGAATTAAATTTTAGATCTTTCATTCTTCAAAGTAGAAGAAAGAAATAATTATATTTTAATTTTTTTGGACTTGAGGATTTATCTATAAAACAAAAAATCTTTGAGCTCATACTATTGACTATTAACATGACTATATAAGTTTTACTATATGGTGTTAGATGTTTATTGCATGAAAAGGATGATTTTTCAAAAAATCTGAAAAAGAAAAAGATTTTTCAATCAATTCTTCTTGATAACTAGTATTATTCATTTACACTATAAAATATTTTAATCATAGCTAAAGGATAGAGCTTTTCAAGGGTTTAAAAATGAGAAATTAATCTTGAAGAAAGAAAAAAACAACAACTTTTTCTCGTTCGGAAGTTATCTAGAATGTGTTTAAATTTAATAACTTTTTACTTTAGCACTTTTTTAAAAATTTCCTTAATAAATTTTTTTATCAAATAATTGAACATTTTTATCAAATTTTTTTAAAAATCAAATTAAATCTAAATGATAAAAATTTAAACATGTATTGAGAAAATAGTGAAAATTCCATTTAATATAATAAATTTGTTCATTAATTAAAAAAGTTAAAAAACTTACTTTTAATACTTTGTTCAAATTCTTGTTCATTCAATGTTTTTAGTGTATAATTGACAATCGAATGAAATCCTGTATCTAAATCTTGTGCTTGTTCTAATTGTATTTTATAACCAATAGGCACATTTTCTAATATTTGTATTAGATAATAATTTTTTGAAAAATGAGGTATATGATCATTAAGATCTTGTAATTCGACATTTAATTCAATTATTGTTGTATCTTTTATCGTTCTTGCTAATAGATCACATTTAATTTGACATCTTGAACATGTACATATACGTTGAATACTACATAAATATTCACGATCATGTTTCTCACTGAGTAGGAGTTGACCAGTAGTTGTTTTAAAATAAAAATAGGGACATGGACGTAAAAATTTGAAATCAACAAGTGTTTTATTACGTTGACGAAATTCATGTGATAAATCGTAGATTATAGTATCTTTTGGTTGTTCTTCTGGTATAGTGATATCAAATGATAATTTATTTAAACTTAAAATGGAATCAATGAAGAATGAAATGAACATGGTTATAATCAAAATAAATAATTGAGTCATTATTAATAAAAATTGTTGTAAATAGTCAAACATTCATTTATACTAGAAAATCTATAAATAATCACGAAATATGAAGATAAAACATGAGTATATATGTATAAAACTTTTTTATTTTATTTTTTTAACATTTGAATCATCGATATGAAACTACAGACAATATGGGCAATATGTGTTGCAATAATGCTATGAGGTCTGTTGCTTATCCAGATCATCTATCGAATAATAAGTTTATAAGTAGATTTAAGAAAGAAAATTCTACAAAATCATCTTTACAAATAGAATTTGATCAGGTTTTGTTGTTGTTTTTTTTTCTTTTCTTTTTTCTTTTTTTTTTTAATACAATCGACTATATTAAATGTTATATTGCTCCTGTATTACTTGTATATAAAATGTCAAACTTGCGCTAACTACAGACAGGTGTCTGTATTTTCAACAATAGAATTATGAAATTGAGTTTGTTTAAAACTCTATTTACTTACATGTTAATTCTCAATTGTATCATCATTTCTTTAATCATACATACTGTGATTATTATTACATGACACTAGACTTGTCACACACTTAACACTCATATATTTATTTTAAATATACATGTTTAAGAATTGCTAAACATTCTCTCTCTCTCTATATATATATACACATAGTCATACAACAAAAAAGTCAATTGTTCTGTTCATCATGTACAAATATTTTTTTTTCTCTCTCTCTCTCTCTCTCTTTCTCTCACTCTGTCATTCACTCATACAACAATTGTTTAAGATATCATAATTATTAGAAGAAGAAAAACGAATACTCTAGAGAAAAGATAATAACTTGTTCACTTGTATTCTATTCAATCAGGCACGACAATATGATAAATTTTGTATTTAAAAATAAAAAATGGATTGTATCATCATCACTCCTGAAGACAAAAAGCTTAATTTGTTAAATCGACTATGTTGTGGTCAAAAGAGAAGAAGAAGAAGAAAAAAAAATGAGTAATCGTGTTTTGTTTTGTTTCTCTTCTTTTCTGTATGATATGATGTTGTCTGTTTCCATTCAATTTCGTTGTGGTGATGAACGATGTGAAAAATGAAAAAAAAGAAAAACCGAGATTTTTATTTACTTATATCTATGAGAAAAAAAGTTTTATTAATATTATGTTTTGATCATAGTGAAGATTTTTCTTATTTCATTCAATGTCGTATAAATTCTCAATTTCAAGAATCTTCATTTTGATGTCTTTTTTTCTTATTTTCCTTCTTCCCTGCTCTTCACACACACACACACACATATATTTATGTATTTATATAGATGTGAGTTTGTCGTTTTTATTCTCTTTCTCTCTCTCTTGTCAGAAAATTGAATTTTGAACATATTGAGTGAATGGTAAATTGATAAGTTTATAATTGCATTTCTTTTCTTCTGTTCAGCAACATTCTTCGATGATGATGATGATGGTGATGATGTGCTTGAAACCTCTCTACACGAAGATGTAATCTATAAACACTTGACTATTAGAAATATGGATAAATCTTTTCCATTGATCATTAAAAATATATATTCAGGTTATATGGAATTGAATATTTCTTTATTTTTGATGTTTCCGTGATCAGATCATCTATTATCACGCAATCTTAAACGTTGCATTGACATGAAAACTAGTTAACTAATCTAACTGATACGATAAACCATCTGTGCAAAGATACGAGGGATGACAATAGAGAAAGTGCACGTATATTTCTAGTCTCTGTGTGACAGGTGGTTTAAATTAAATATATGAACATTTTTGTATCTGAATATTTTGATTTGTACAAAAAGTTTCAAGCCTTCTTTTTCTTTTAACCTTAACAGAGAGAGAATTTTTCAATGTGATGTTAATGTACAAGCAATTGAATTTTTGAACAGCATAAAATTCCATAACATTGACGATTAAAACGAAACTTTCATCCATTTCTTGAAATAAATATTTAGTAAAAATAGATACGGATCTGTAATTTTTACTATTAGACAGAAATCGGATGACGTACAGTTTAAAAACCTTTTATAAAGTTATTTTTTCAAGATGATGTCTTAAAAAATTATTTTGGAGCTTGAAAAATTTTCATACAAACATTCTGAGATTTTTTTCATGGCTCCAGATTCTGCAAGAAAGTTATTGTCATTGAAAACTTCAGAACTGCTGTATAAGAAAGTTATTCCAAGAAATAGTTGAATGAACCGATTTTTTTTTTGAAATAGATAGTACAACATGTTCTCTACGTAACATCACAGTGTTTCTTTATACCTGTTTTCATTTCACACTATTTTTCTTGACAACAAGACGACATGTATTTGAGGTAGAACGAGACATTTTCTCTATCTGAGTAGCTGAAAATGAAAATTCGAAACTGTTTGAAAGTATCAAGCAATTAACATATTTATTCTGAATTATCTGTAAATAATCAATTAATTGTGTTTTTTAAATCATTAAAACTTTGAAACAATCGTTTATGACTTTAATTCTAATCTACACACGAACAGAAATTCATTTAAACTCTTTAGCTTGATGACAGTTTAAATTACATCGTTTCTCTATTCATCTTTTATTCCTAATCTTGGCAGTATGTCTATATCTAAAATAGTGTCCTTCCAGCTATTATCATTCCAACATATTGTTTTGGGTCGACTCCTATTCACTTCCACCATCAATGTCCGGAAGTATACTTGATGAAATTTCATCTTTTAAATTGAGTGTGACTATCCATAGTCAAATTTTTGTTTTAAAAAAAAAAAAGATAATTATATCGAATATAGCTGCCTTCAAGGAACGATTGAATAGCTATGAGCTCTTATATTTTTCTTCTGTCTTTCTGCTTTTTAAAAGAGAGACAAAGTGACACAACGATGACATATATAAACGAGAGATCTAGTTCTCTTTTTTCTTAACTCATGGACCTCCTGTAGTTTAATTGTACATAGAGAGAAAGACAGAGACATACTCACAACATGGTTCGTTAACTTGATCTAAATTAACTTAATATGCCTACCCACCCACTGATAATTGAGTAAAACAATGACTGACTAAATTAATTTTCTCTATACATACAACACAATATGATAGGACATACGGAGTGTGGATGTGTGTGAGATAGAAACAGGTAATTATATATATATTTCCTTGAACAAATTATTCAGCAACATTCAAACGTTTTTAATAATCGAGATTTGACTTATTATAGTAATTTTTTGTTTTATTTTTTTTTAAAAAATCGAAAACTTTAGTACAATATCGATTCTTTTGATGAAAATTGTTTTCTTAATCGATCTATCTATGATTTGCTTTTTTCAATTGAATTGAATCTAAGTCAGAGAAACATGTATAATATTTAAGATAGCATCTAGATTACTATCAAATCATTTGAAATACTTTTCTGTTCTATTATAATTTCATGATATATTATTATTTGTGAAAGGAAAAAATACTAATAAAATATTTGACATTTTTCTCATATATGAATATTTCATCTACGTAATGTTTTCAGGAAGACTACATTAGATTTTGGCCTCGTATTTTCATATTAAAAACGATAAATTTTTTTATCATTTTATAAAATTCGTTTGTCTATTTTTATTGTTTTAGGTTGTCTGTTTGCATGTTTTAAAGCGGAAATATAGAAGGAGAAGAAGAAAAAAAAAATAAAATTATTTCCGATAACACTTACATTGAGAGAGACTCCCTCTCTTTCTCTCTCATTTTTGAAAGCAATATTAACGTTCTTCACATGTAATGTTGTCAATTATAATTAGACAGACGTATTTTCTCCTTAACTTATCATCGAAAATCGTTTTGTCGTACGCTTTTTTATAGTTTTTCCAATAGATAAATACTAGTACAAGAAAGACTATAGAAATTCCTTTTAGAATGGTGTAAAGATTTTACTACACTGCACGTCTGATACATAAAATTGTTCAAAAGAATGTTGAGATTCTATTTATGAGTAGCCTGTTATTCGATCTAAATTTATCAATAGTGGCATATATAAAATAGTATGACTCAGACAAGACACTGCTTTTGACTAAGAGATGATGTTTTTCCATATTGTACATCGATCATCTTTGTAATCAACTAAATTTCTCATAGACAAGCGTATGATTATTACCGAATTTCTCAACAATTTAAGATAAAAAAGTTTTGTTTGAAATAAATAAAAAACATTGTTGTTTGCTTATCTCTAGATGGGAAGTGATTTTGTTCGTTCAACAAACGACATTTAGATAATAGATCCATTTTTTTGATTAATGATTAGACAACGACAAATTACTGATGATAAAGAAAGTGAGAAGAATATTAATATCAAAATATATCGATCAATAACGATAAACGAACACTTGCCGTTTTTCAGAGATAAGCAAAACACACATACTAAAAGCAACCAATTTTTCATACTTTTCAACAAAAAACAGTCACTTTTTGAGAATACCAAGACAATCATTGATAAAAAAAAATAGCTTTTAATTAATACTACTGCAGAACTGGCGATCAAATGATGGAGTAATGTCTGATGTTTTATCCAATAATTTCCAGTTAGGCGCCATAGTTTTTTGTGCTATTATTAATTATTTCGTTAACTATCAAAAACATGTAACTGTACGCTGTGACTGTACTAAAATAAAAACCTTCTAGGGCCTTCATTTCTCAAACAAACGGCTTCAGTCTTTCAAAATTTACTCAGTTTCGCCTGTTATACAGTTCATGAATGTTAAAATTATTTCTCATACTGAGATTTCACCTGAAGGCCTTCAGAGGTTTTCTGAAAAATCTGTCGAAGATCCGCCTTCTTTTTTATAGTTCTGGTAGTGAGATTGGATAGACCACCTTATCTTATGCTCGCTCGTCAACTTTCATGCAATTTGGTTGAGAAATGATGATGCTAGAAGTTTTTTATTTTAGTACGGTCATAGGAGAAAAACCAAATTTTGTTCTTTTGATGTTTGTTTAATCTGAAGAACAAAATAAACATTACCACGAGATTTCCCGTGTTCAAAAATCTATGTTTCACATCTTTTTAAGGTTTCCGGACTTCAGGTTTAGCCTATAGGTAGGCTCCCGAAGGTAGCCTATAGCGCCCGAACCACGGTAGATGCAGGCGTGGGGCTTACTGCAGGTTGTGGAGGGACATCTGTTGTATACCCACATGTATTTAGAACAGTACTTTGCTTTGTAGATTTTAGAAATGGCAAGCTCGGATGTTTTGTTTCGAAAGCTACATCGTGATAAACCTTTTCGAGAGACTGGAGTTTTAATAGGGTTATAGCCCCAAGTGTCCTCTATAAAATGCTGGAATCCGCAGGCCTGTATCTCATTCCTATCAAAAGTTATTCAAAAACGGTAGTGTGCCCTCTACTTTAAAACGGATAGTAGTACACGAAGTAAGAAGACATGGTGTGTATTACTTTAAACAATCAGCTCACTAACTGATTAAACAACACAAAACAGAACTTACACTCAAATAACTATAAACAAATGCTATAAGTAAGATAAGATCTAAAAGTAGACATCTTGCTATGTTAAGAATAACTATGGTTATTGATAGTAAAATTAGGAACTTTCACAGCCACACACTATTTGTGTGATTTATAGTCTGACTTTCTTCATCGCAAGAATAAGAATCTAGTGATAGTGACGTTAGAGCTTCCAAAATTTTGTCTGATTGCGCTTGCGCGATAGGATAATTGGTATTCTCTGGTTGTTCATGTTTCATTTTTCTAATTTCTTGAAGTTCCGAGAGATAAAATTCTCGTACACTTTCTCGAATTTCATTCCATTCTTCTTTTGGTACACTCAATGATGGCTTTTTTCTGTTATCATCATGGTCGTCGAACAATCTACTACATATACTATCTAGTCCATAAACATTAATCCAATGATAATCATAATTATATGGTGTACTATCATTCAGTTCAATCACTTTCTCAAGAATCTGTTCAATGACATCCAAATCACTAAACATATCTTGAATAATTAATGGCTCAAATTGCATATTCAGAAGATCGTGGGCTCGACTTGCTAATACATCGACACATCTCATCGAGTCATATTTTGCCCGCATCTGACCAAAATAATACCAAAAATACGCTTGTTCTTTTTTCTCTTGCTTATATAAAATGTTGGATAAATAATAGAATACGCGTGGAATGTAGTCCCCAGGTGAGGTTACGATTTTCTCAATATGTTTTTGTTTTTCATCTGAGGAACCTGTACTTAACATAGCGATGGTTTCATTAAATAGTTCCATGTCTACGGTACCACGGTTTTGGCCAGGAATTATTCCGATTTGTGTTTCCATTAAGAAAGAGTCAAATTTAGACGACAAATTACTTTCAATATCAACTTCATTCGATTCCATTAGTAAAGTATAATAATGAGCACTAACGTTTTTTTCATGTACCGATTACCTTCATAACCTTCAAGGTTTGATGATCCGTGACGAAGAAGGTGACTGTGTTATTATATATGTAAATGGTATCGTTAATAATCTTCATACTAGTGGCGTCTATTCTATTGTACGTTTGTCATAACCTGCTTCAACTAAAAAAGTTCGATACATTTTTGAGGTTTCAGTTCAATTATCTTCGTATTCGAAAGCGAGAATTATTTGTGTGTTCCATAGGTGGAGCTCTGTCTTGCTAATGGAGAACAAAATAGTAGCAAATACGACGCTGCTTGTCTCGAATCTCTAGAGGGATATGGACGATACGGATTCAGATCAGTACAGCGAACTAAAAACAGATTGTGTTCTGCAAAAGTTCAACTGTCGCGTTAGAGGAAAATTTTTTTGCATATTACAATCCTCGATAAATAAACTGAGCTATATAGTCAGAGTCAGAAAAGAGAGTCCAAATTCTAGTACAACTTCTTTCCAAGCAAAAAAAAACTTTTTGGTGTTAGCTTAACTTACGTAAGGTGCCGAAACCCAACTTTTTTACAAAAGATAGATATTTCATATTAGAGCCAGTGCCAAAAACTGAGTCGCATGATATGCTTTTTCTTCCAGTTCGATCACTGTAAGCTTTAAGAATTTCATGTCAAAAAATCGCTGAGATTTTCACCAAAAAATGAAAATCAACGCAAAATCTTGAAATATAGATCATTCGTCTCGGTTTTTGACGCTGACTCTAAATATGATATATTTTTTGCACAAAAGTTGAGTCCTAATGCAGAAAATTGAGAATTCCGTAAATTCCGTTTTTCGGGGCTTTTCGTAAAATATCAATATCTCCGCGACGATACAGCTTTTTGATTTGCGCCTTTACCAAAATTTATTAAAATATTTGGTCTAGAAGAGCCCCCTACTTTGGAAAAGTTTTAGGAACATCGATTGAAGGCTAATCCGCTGTAACAGGTCGTGGCTTACGTGCAATCGCTCTTATACGAAATTTTCGTCACATACTTTTGTTCAGTTTTTGATACTTTTTTCAATGATGGTTTAACAAACTTGCCCTTGATATCATTTATTTTTATTGTTAATTCGTTGATCTAAAAGTATAAATAAAAACTTTT